TAAGTCCTTTGGACTCTTGCCCCGGTTTGCTGCCAAGCAGGCTGGGGATGGAGGAGTCAGCTGTGTCTGTTTCAAACCCCCACAAGCTGATGCTGAAGCTCTGAGAAGGGACAGGCTTTTCCAGTGATGCTTTTGCACAGATAAACTTAGTGCCCCTTGGTGCAATTGTGCTTGCCATCACTTAAGAGGGAGGCAGGATTTATAACAAGGAGGCTTTGCAGACAGAGACTCTGGGGTCCTCTGAATCTGTGGGCAGGACTAGCCTTTCTTCTGCTAAAATGTGAAAAAAGTGTTTTATTATTGCTATGGATATGAAGTGCAGCCCAGATGTACAGCCTCGCAGGCAGTTAATTACCTTGTTCTTTATCAAATATATGAGCAATAAATTCTCCAGGAAGGGGGGGGGGAGGGAGAGAGAGAGAGAGAGAGAGAGAGAGAGAGTGTGTGTGTGTGTGTGTGTAGATAAATATATGGATAGATAGATAAATGCAGGAGAGAGATAAACTCACACTCTTTCAAGACCACAGAAAGAGACAGACTATTTTATGGGAAGCTTGATACATTGCTGCAAGATGCTTTGAATTTTTCAATGATCAAATATACATGATCAAGCTGTGCATGTTAGGGTGTGAGGTGCACGGACGGTCAATGGCTATTGATCAGGCTGTTAAGTATTTCTGTTCAGTTTTATAAATATAGATGGATCCCAGATGATTTAAACAATTGGATAGTTAAGAAACTAGCCTTCTACCTTTTTTTGGAGAAGGGCAAATTGCTGGTCAGTTACATAAACCCCAACCATTGTTCACCCCCATATTTCCTCCCTCCCCCCAAAATACCTTGGAAAATTCAAAGCTCATTTCCAAGAGTGTTCAAAAATAGAGTAAAAATATTCCAAATGTTTTGTTTGGTGTCTTCCAATAATAGTCACCTTACCTGAGCTTAGCCTCATTCACAGGCTGGTAGTTTACTTCTCTCTCTCTCTTTCTCTGACACACACACGCGTGCGTGCGCACACACACACACACACACACACACACACACACAATTTAAACCCAGACTGCCAGAGAGGTGGGGAGGGTGCCATTTCTAGGAGTGGGATCTAAGGTCCCTAAAACCCTTCTAGTTAGGAACCTGATAAACCAACCACATGACCCTTCCCAATGAACAAATTTCTCACTAATCTAGAGATCTATTTAGAAAGGTGTGGAGGGGTGAAAGATGGAGATTTAAGGGTAACCTCTAATTGGTCTGGAAAAATTTAGCTGATGACACCTTGAAAATCTCTCTGTTCCTTTTTCATTCTCCCTCCCTCCCTTTTCTATTTTTCTCTGATATTACTTTCTAGAAATTAAAAGTAGATTTGAAAGAAAAGGGCAAGGAAAAACAGTAGAGGGAGGAGAGGAAGAGAACTTTTTATTTTTATTTTTTTGTGGTGCATTGCAATTGATTGTAACCACCCAATTAGCTATTTTGTATTTTGTAAAAGGATTCAAGAAATCAGCCTTCTCTCAGATCGGTAAAACTTAAGCATACAGACAATTGATAGTTATGTTTTGTTTCCACATCTTAAAAAAAATAAAGTGTAGATTTTAGAGTTTTCTTTCTGCAGACCAGTCTTTTCCAGCTAAGTGCCCCTCACCCAAGGAGCGGAGGCGTCCCTATTGATCAAACCCCCTGGAAGTTGAACCAAAATTGGCATCCCTCAAAAAAGTTGATCCACCTAGAAACGGATGAATCAGTCCTGATTGGGTGGACATGCCCTTTCACCTCATTGTGTCTGACCTATCACTTAATTAATCTCTCCCAGAGCAGAGCTGATGACAATACCAAAGATAAGCGGTATTTTGAACAAAGCAGGAAGCTTTTAAAAGAACAAGCCATAGTGAGGTTTGAGGCTCTTAAAAATGTATAAATGCTCAGCATTAGGATGTAGAGTTCCTTTATCACATAGCTGAAGCTCAGAGATGATCCCATCTTTTTGCTAGAAACTTTCTGTGCCTTTCTTTAGCCACGGTCTTTAGACATGTATATTCTGCCTCTCCCCTCTGCTGTTGGTTCCTTTTCTCCTGTCTTTCCCTTTCTCTGGATTCATACTATCCATGGCTACTTTCCTGAAAATTGTCCTCTGCTTTCCAGCCTTGCCTTTGGCTCTTCAGATCCTTTTTATAGTGTTAGGACTATCGAGGTAGTCAGCTTGGAAGGCTTTGGGGACAAAATATTGACTGCATCTGCTGGTACCTATGAAGCAGGACATTTGTGCTGAAGGCACCTTGGTGACATAGAAGGAATCATTCACTAATTAAAAGACTTGTTAATTGCTTGGATTGCTGTACAGAAAGAATGAAATGAGCTTGTAAAAGATGGCAATTTGGGGAATGCATTTTTTTTTGTTTAAAATATTTTTATAAACAGGTCCTAGAAAATGGGTTGCTTTTACTTTTGACTGTATCATCAACAATTCAATTGAGCTTCAGTTAATGATAATATATGGTCTGGGATCCTTAGCTGGGCCCGACTGATGGAAGAGCTTTGTTGAATTTGGTGCAGGTGGCACTGTTTAATAAGCACAGGAAAGAGTGAATAATGTAGTGCTTGCAAAGAGAAGTAAATGCAAAATAGATCGCTCTAATTATGGCAGCCCCCAGAAATGGAGACGAAAGCTGAAATGGCCAAGTAGCTGGGAAATTTCAAATAGTGTTGATTGCCCCCTGCCTTTTTACTTTCGGGGGCTGACACGGTAGCTTAAAAGTACATTTGGATGAGCTCATCTGACTCTACACAAGTACACATTCAAAACCTGAGTGTGATGACCTATCAGTGTTTGCCTTCACGGCCTGGAATCCTTTACCAGATAGTAAAATTCAGCACTAAAACAGGGCCATCTGAACATTTCTTCCTGCAAGAGATTAGCACAAGCTCATTACAACTAGCCTTCATATTTTATTGCAAAATGTCAGCAGATTTTGTTTTTGGTTTTGTTTTGTTTGAATTTCTTTATGCCTGAGAAAAATTAGTCTACAGGAAATCAAAGTGTGAATACTTAAGCAAACAGAATTTCTCATATACCTGCAAGGGCTTGTAATGATTTTCATTCATGCAAAGATAATCAATGGGACATTAGTTGTTTTAATTAATGGAAGAATAAAAATGTTGGGGAGGGGTGCCAAGGGACTGGGCTTCAGCTGAAGCATGTGTGGGAAGTGACTCATTCCTCACCTAAAGAGACAATGCCAGCTTCCCAAATAGCAGTAGAGATTTGCTAATCAAACCAGTGGAAAGTTGGACTCGGCTACAGGAGGCGTCCTGTTGAAAGTGCAGGGAGGGAGATGGTGGCCACACTGGGCATTTTTCCTCCCCTGCAACCTCACTGTTCCCCTCCGAAAAGTACCACATCCTACATCACCTAGGAGAGGAACGGTCTGACTTCCTAGGAAGGTGTATTTTGTGCTGGGAGCCTCGTATGCTTTGTGATGGTAAAATAGTGCCAGTGGCTGAGAAGCTCAAATCCACATTCTTTAGCCTGGACCCAAGAGAGGCTGGGGCTGAAAGGGCGTGCTAGACCTGGGGTGATCTGTAAAGCAGTGGCTCCTGCGAGTGAGTGGAGAACCTTATCCCTGATTGAGGACCCTGGGAGGAGCCAAGTCCAGCATCTTTAGCTAAAAACTCCTTTTTGATATGTAGAAATGTTTACCAAACCCACCTCCTGTCTAGCCAATGCTGGCTGGGAACTCCAGTCCATGGGTATTAATGTATGGGAAGCTCATAAAAGGTTTGTGGGGAAACCTGTGCTTAGAAATGGAGTTTAGGGGTGTCCTGCTGTCAGAGAAGGATGGCAGAGATGCCTTTGAATAAGGGCTGTGATAGGAAAAACTGTCAATCTGAAATGCATGGAAACATGAGTTGTCAGCCAGTCAAGAGTTCATCTGCTTCCTCCTCCTACCCCTGTCCCCACTTTTTCCATACAAAATCTTTTGGGTTCTCCTTTAAGCAGAATGTGGTTTCCTGTGTGAGAAAATTTGTTGCCGTTTTTTCTGTTTTTGTTTTTGTTTTTTGTACTTCAACCTGAAAGGCTTGCAGAGCAACCAGCTTAGCAAAATGGCCCTTCCAGGACTGGATATTGTTCTTACCTAGATTAAAAAGAAATGACTGTCAAGAAATGACTGTAGTTATACTAGTTGGGGAAAAAATGGCATCTTTTTGCAACATTTACTTTTTTTTTTTTTTTTTTTTGGTTTTGCTTCCAGGGCAATTTACATCCTTGCATGGAAATTAGCTGTGAGGGGATGCAATTAGCTATTGTGTATTTTGTTACAATTGTTCTTTAAGAAAAATCTGATCTGACAGATTTATATTGTTGACAATGTGATTTAAGCAGGGCCTAGATACAAACTTTCACCACCCTAATCAATAATGGTAAATCCTTTTGCTGAGGTGAACAATCTCTGACCTAGTATTCATATTTCTTTTACCAATTCCCTGTAATAAAATTGAACATTTTGTCACCACTTTGAGAAACACTGCCAAACACCTTAAAACACATGTCACATGCCAGCAGCCCCTCATTTTCCTCCTCCGGGAGCTTCTACATCTGGAATCATAATCACAGATAAAAACCTTGACAAAATTGCATCTGAGCACATTCTTCTCTGCAGCCTTTACTTTCTCATAACATTTAATACAATATTAATACCTGCTACCGAAAAGCAGGAGGGAGGAAAAGGGCTGCCAACCTCCACGTTTCCTGATGCATGATGTTCAAACCTGAAATTCACACTTCGTGTTTCATTTTAAGTTCAGTGCATTTAACAGGGCCCTAGAGAGAGAGCCCTGGTTAGTTCCCCAACCTGCTCAGCTGACGCCCAGGGAGGCGGTTTCAGAATTGTTCAGATCGCTGCAGGGAGAAGAGGAGGAGGAATTGGGCTCCTCTCTGCCTGCCACAGGCCAAGCCACTTATCTATTCTAGTGTCACAGACTCGGGGTTTCTCTTCGGAAACAACTAAGACTCCACTAATTTTTATTGTCGATAGCGGTGATAAGCAGATTTTCTGTATAGTGTGACCAAGGCAATGAGTTGATTTCAGAAAGAAAGAGATATGCCTGAACTGATTTGCTGCTGACTGACAGCCTCTCACACCAATATAAAACACTCCCTGCTTTGCTGAATGAGGCCCACAAGCCTGGGAAAGGTGGTGGTGGTGAGGGGGTGTCCTCGTTGAAGATACAGAGCTTTTGTGCTCTCCCTGTGTCTCAGCCTCACCCCACCCTTTCTTGGAGATAACCGTAACCCCGCATTCCTGTGCAGTGGCAGGGAATCACCCTTCCTCTGCTTTACAAACAGGAGACAGAGGTTAGAGAGAAGGGGAAAGTGCAGGAAGCATACACACTGGGGGTTTCCTGGGGGAATGCATGATACCCTGAAGATGGACTTCCCCATGTTGGTGGCTTTGTTCAGTCCCTGCCACTCTGACTAGAATTGGGGTTGAGACAGACCAGGAGTGTCCCTTTCCTTTACAAAATGTAAACCTCCAGGTTTTTGGAAGTGTTACATGGTAACCTCTCTAACAGCAGGCTCAGTGTAGAGGGGAAACACACACACACACACACACACACACACACACACACACACACACACACACTTCCCTGAGCATTCCCACTGTGGTGAGGAAAGGGTATAATTTGCTGAATGGTGCAAGCAAGCCAGGAAGACAGAAGATGCTACACTTTACTCAGGGAATAGAGGCGGGCAACTGGCCCTGTGACTGCAGCCAACAGCTTTAAGAACACAGTCCTTTCTGCTTCAAGGTGGGGCGGGGGACATTCTCGCCTCTTTCTTCTTTGCAGTTATTATTCAAGAGTCTTCCCCAGTCCCCAGCACCATCCTCAGAGCTTCAGGCCATACATTGGCAATGCGCAAAGGGGGCCCCAGGCAGGGGGGTCTGGGGCCAAGGAGGGCGGCTCCCCTGCGCGGAATCCTTCCCTGGCGGCTCCCAAATCCGGCGTTTTCTCTGCCGCCTCTCCCTCGGGGGAGACTCGGAAAGGCTGCAAAAATCTGGGCGCCCGCTCGCTCGCTTGTCAAGAAGCAAACTGTCTTCACATTCTCCAAGAGCAACATCCCTGCCTAGGAAGAGGAAGGAAGAGGCAAAATAAATAAAACCAGTTAATGTTGTAGTTAACTTGCAAATCAAGTAAATCTGTTGGTGCCGTATTTGAGAAATAAACCATCACAGCGTCACAGCAAACACACACTTCTGAACGTCTTCATTTTGATTTAATGGTATATCAGCGTCAACTATCGCTTCCTCTGCTGGTACACACGGCCTGATGCCGCGGGAGGAGGGTGCCCATGTTTATCACCGAGTGAGATGACTAATTACACCTTGTCAATCACCGGCTATGAAGACATAAAACCAGCGCGCACAATGAAGTAGTTGCCTGCAGCGTCAATTAGTTGGCGATTCTGAGGTTATTGCGTGGCCCTGCTTTGGCCGCCTCTAATAACGGGACAGAGCGCCGGGAACCGCGCACTGATCAATCACCCTCCTTCCGCGGCCGCCCCGCTCCCTCCCCTCTCCCCCGCCCGGCCTGGCCTCACTTTCTCCGGGTGGCTTGCGATTCCTCCCTCCGCGGCCCCGGCTCCTTGGCGCCGGCAGCCCCGGGAGCTCCGGGAAGTTTGCGCGCGGCAGCTCCGCAGCCGGCAGCCGGGAGTCCCGCAGCCTTCGGGGAGCGCCGGGGCTGGTGGCCCCTTTGTTGGAGGAGGCGTGGAGTCAGCGCTTTTGTTCTGAGTTAGTCACGGTGGCCGGCTGGAGGCTGCTACCTCATTATGCGCCGGGTCTGCTTGTCTGCGAGGAAGCAGATGGTGGGGAGGTAGGCAGCGGCGAGAGTGGCCAGACCTGAATTCCGTTCACCTGTCACCTCCCACAAAAGGCAGGTTCGGGGGCCTTAGGGATTCGTGGCCCCTTTCGGGGGGGAGAGGGAGGTCGAGGGGCCGCCGTTTCCGGCGCCTGCGAGGGTTCCGTACCTGTCGGTGCCCGCTCCCCCCACCCCCTGCCTTTCCCTTGGCTGCGGCTTCTCGCACCGCGTAAATGTCACTCACGTGTCAGGATGTGTGTTTACAGCCTGTTCCTCTCCTTGTTTAGTCTCCGCGGACAGGGCTCAGCGGTTGCGCGACGTCTCCCGCCGCTGGGGGAGATTAGCAAAGTTACTGGCCTCTGGACCCCGGGGCTCGGGCGCCCAGATCCCGCCCCGCGGCGGGCGATGAGTTTGAGCCTCTCACAGATGGAGCGCGTCCCAGCCTTACGCAGAGGGATGAATAGAAAAGCGCACCGGGCGGGAATCCTGACTGCCTGGGAATTTGAGGTCGGCCCAGCGTTGGACGTGGGCTGCTGGTCCGAGAGGTGGCGACGGAATCGCGTGCCTATATGTACGGGGGAGTGGAAAGTCTCAGGGTGTGTTTCCACGTTTCTAGAGCCGCCCGCGGCAAGAGTTGCTGAGTACCCCACCCCCTGCCCCCAGATCCTAAGGCAGCCCCTCGAACTTTCGAAACGTATCGTGTCCAGCCCTCCCGGGAACGGAGTTGCACCAAGGACAAACACTCTAGCGTCGTTATAAATTTTTTCTACCCCTTGGGCGACCTCCAGATGAACCCTGATGACTCTCAGATTGGATTTTCATTCCCTACTTTCTTTGAAAGAAAGTGCCCCAGATGCGTCAGTAACACATGCCTATGTATTCGTGTAGGCGTCTGCGTGCCTGCGCGCCGGCCGTGTGCAGGCGCCGAAGCACACGTCTGTGCGAACACACGGGCACGCGCGTTTTGGGTTTAATGGTCCTTCCCTCGCGTTGGGGCATCTGTGCACATACAGCATATACACGCATACTTGTAACTTCAAGTTTTTTCAAATATGCAAAACGGCCTCGTAGAAGCACTCGCAGTGATTTCAGTAGAATGGCCTGAGCACGCGAGTGCAGGTATAACGTGCGATTTACCATTTTGCAACTGCATCCTCCTTCCCCTCTCTGGACACTTATACGCGACGCAAATTTGTAGACCCTAGGTCTATAGTGGTGCTGGCTGTGATTTTGCCAACAGAGACAAAATTCGTGCTGGCTGTGTTTTTACCAACAGAGATGAACATGTGTATTTGCACACATGAACACAAGTTCATATATTTGTGCACACAGATATTTATGTGTGAAAGTAACCTGCACATGTGAAAAATATGATTTAGTGCTTCAACTCTGTATGCTGTGTGGTAAACCGCAGATCCTGGCTATCCCCTTACCTGACCTGGCAAACAAGTCATTTCAGACTAACACCCCCCCTTGTCCCCGTTAGACGGAGCCAAACCTGCCTCCGAAGCAGACCCATATGGAACTCTGACGTGCTTATTCAGTTTTTGTCTACGATCATTTTATTTCCTAAATCCCTCCCCACCAGACACCTGGATATTTCCCTCCAGTCCCCAGGACACTCTAGGGTGAGCCTGAAACCTGGAGGCTGGGGTGGCAGTGGGGATTTACCCGGCACACTAGGTTGTTGGCCCCTGACGAAGTGGTGCAGCTAGGCAGATAAGGTGGACTCCACCTTCAGCCAGCCGGGTCTGAGGCATGGTGTGCCCAGTGGGCAGGAATGGGCCTGTGGATTTTAAGAACCTCACTGTTATCAAATGTATCTCGGAGTAAGAAAGTTTTTAATGGAAGAGGAGAAAGAGGGAATGATGAAATAATTTGCTAAGTGCCTACTATGTTCCAGGCATTTTACATCCATAGTCTCTTTCGTTCACCACAACCATGTGGAGGAGACCTCGTCTCCCACTATAAAGGTCAGAAACAAGTTAAGTGAGGATAAGTCACTGTCTAAGGTTACAGTGCATGTAAATGGCAGAGCTAGGATTCGAACCGTGGCCTTTCTGGGTTCCTAAAGTCATTCTCGCCCCCACTATTCCAGGCTGGGAAGAGCGAGAAGAAGCTACGCGCTGGGCTGCAGATTGGGCCCTAGCGGGCTTGGAGCGTGGATATACTGCCTGGCCCCCCTCCCCGGGAGTCACAGCTCTCGCCGGTCTCGCCTCTCAGGCTCAGCCGGGTCCCCAGGAGGCCTGCACGGCCGCCTGCAGCCCGCTGTGCAGAGCCCGGGCCGAAGGCGGAGCTCGATGGGAAGCGGCTGAAGGCTTTTGCAACTCTGCCCCAGGCCTGTCTCCCCGGGCCTCCCAGGCGGGTGCCTGAGGCCGCAGCTCCAGGCGGAGGGGAGACCGCAGTGAGACCTCCTCGAGCATCCCCTGGCTGCGCCTTCTTAGGATAGCGGGTTTAATTTTCCTTTCTGAAGATATCGCAGGAAGCTGTTCGTATCTTAAAAACTCCAAACCCCGCGCTCTCCCTCCTGCCTGCCTCCCCCCCTTCCCCGCCCTTCAGCCTCGCCCACCAGCTCCCACCATCTCAACTCGACTCTGCTCCTCTTGCCTCTCCCCTCCCTCTCGGGTCTCCCGCCTTCCCGGAGCACGCGCTGCCAGGGCCTGGGGCGCCGAGCGGCCAATGGCGCGGCGGCAGGACGTGATGTCAGGCGCGGCTGTAGAAAAGGCGCGGAGGCTTGCGCTGGCGCGGACTGCAGAGCCGGGGCTGGGCTAGGCGCGCGCTTGGAGAGCATTGCGCGCGGCTGGGCCCACGGCCGGCGGCTCCTCCTCCCACTCTGCTCCTCCTCTTTTTTCTCCTCCTCCGCCTCCTCCTCCTCCTCTTCCTCCTCCTCTTCAATTCTCCCGGTGGCTCGGCTCGGCTCGCTGGCTTCGGAGAAACCCCTACTCCAGACGGCGACTCAGCGCCCAAGAGGGTTGCCTTGGGCTGGGGGAGCACCCCAGGGAGGGATCCAGGCAGCTGGGCTGTCGCGGGCACCTAGCGTCTTCTGGGTGAACCCCGACTGCAGCCGTCGCCGCCTCGGGCAGAGTTTGCGCCCCTGCTTTGCGCCCCGAGCGCCGAAGCCGGGCGGGCGATGCCCGCGGCTTGAAAGCGCCCGCGGCGGGCGCCGACCTCTGCCCTCTTCTCCTGCTCCCCCCTCTTGCCCCGTGCCCTTGTGACCCTGGCGTTGGCGCCGTCGCCCAGGCGCCCCGCAATGTAGCTGCCCCCGAGCCTCGTCTGGAGGCGTCCTGGCCCGCAGGCGCCCGGGGCCCGGAGCCCGGCCTGGGGGCGCAGCCGAGCTCGGGCGGGGCCGGGGCCGCGGTGGCGATGCACCGGGCCCGTTAGCGCCAGGAGCGCCAGGCAGCTGAGGCGGGGGGCAAGCCCTCCCTCGGAGGAGCCGCGCCCCCGGCCCCGCCGGTCCCGCCGCAATGCTGTTCCACAGTCTGTCGGGCCCCGAGGTGCACGGGGTCATAGACGAGATGGACCGCAGGGCCAAGAGCGAGGCTCCCGCCATCAGCTCCGCCATCGACCGCGGCGACACTGAGACGGTAGGCACGCGGCTGTGGGGTCGGGGCTGAGAGCTGGGATGGGGCCGGGCCAGTCAGCGCCTCTGTCCCTGAAGTTTGGGGAGCGTCCTTCGTGCCGCACGGGACTGGGTTATGGGGATCTTCGGTCTGAATGCAAGGCCGGTGGCTCCCGGCTCCAGGGAAACCCTGCTGCTGGGGCGAGAAGGGAAACAAGGTTGAAACCGAAATCTCGGCCCCCGGGAGTGGAGGAGAGCGGTTCTTCCGAAGTGGAAGCGAAGTCCCATCCGCGGCCCGGGGCGGCGGCTCCCTTCTCACCTTGCCCGGCGCCAGGGTCGACAACCCTGCGCTCTCCTCCACCTCTCGGCTCCGGTTGCTGGCCGCGCCGCGGGCGGCGCCAGGGACGGGCGAACCAGCCGGGAGCATTGGGGCTCCAGCCAGCTTGGGCCGCTCCCAGCTTCCCGACAATCGGGGATCCCCCGCGACCCCCAGCGCAGTTTCAGAGACCTAAGTGCCTGGCCAGCATTTGTCGTTGATCGCGTTCCCACAACCCTTGACTGGTCAGACTTAGCCAGGCCAGGGCTCAGAGTTTAGGCTCCGGCCTGGCCCTCGCCGAAGGAGACTCCGTTCAGATCTCTACACCTGGCTCTGCGGGCCCAGCTCCAAATAGCCAGTTCCTTGCCTCGGACCTCCCTGGGGGCTAGACGAGCAGACACTGCTGGAGCAGCAGGCCTAGAAGTGACCTTTAGGAGGCCGCGGAGGTGGGGAGCACGGGAGAAGCTTCTTTGCTCCGGGAGTAGGAGCAGCGGCCTCAGTGGCCTCCGGGCCTCCGAGCCCTTCTTCCTGGGTTAGATCTTCCTCGCTGGTCACTTTGGATAGGGGAGGATTTGGGTCGAAACTGTCCTGCACCCAGAGACATTGAGGGTGTTTCTGCACCCCACTCACCGTAATTCCTGGACCCAAGCGGGCCCCAGCCCGGGCGGCAGAGGAGCCAGAAGTTGCCTGACTTGTCCTGGCCTTACTGGAGCTGGGGCCCAGGAACTCTCCTGTCTCTCCGAAGAGGATTCTGTGTAGAGGGTGATTTAATGGTCACCTTAATCCCCGGGTGGCTCATTTAAGAAGCAGTTTGGGGAAGGCTCTTGGAGGACTTGACTGGAGTAGCTGTCCCGGTCCCTAAACACTGTCCGAGCGTTTTGGGGGAAAGGACAGGGAGGACTGGAAGGGAGAGAGGTTAGCAGAAGAGCTTTTTAGGCCAGGAGCCCGGCCTGGGCCAGTGGCCTGTTAGCGCTGCGCAGGCCAGGCGGGCCTGGGTTCTGAGCTGCCAGGAAATGGAAATGGGCCTTTTGGGGTGGGGGAAGTGCACTGCAGGCCCTGGCAGCCCCCTCCGCCGTTCTGGGCAACCAAGGCCACAGAGGGAGCTGTGGGTGCCGGTTTCCCGGCGGCGGTGGGGCGCTGGCTGACGCAGGCGCTGCCGTCTTCAGCCTCTCTCCCTTCGCAGACCATGCCGTCCATCAGCAGTGACCGTGCTGCGCTGTGCGCTGGCTGCGGGGGCAAGATCTCGGACCGCTACTACCTGCTGGCAGTGGACAAGCAGTGGCACATGCGCTGCCTCAAGTGTTGCGAGTGCAAGCTCAACCTGGAGTCGGAACTCACCTGTTTCAGCAAGGACGGCAGCATCTACTGCAAGGAAGACTACTACAGGTAGCCCCCACCCAGCTGCCCCTGGGGACCCCTCCCCCCACTCTCAGGCACAATCTTACAGTTTGGCCTTCTCCTTTCCCTTTAGTCCCAGGAGAGGGTTCACTACTCAGGACTGCCCCGGCCCCAACTTCTCCAAGCCAGAACCAGCTGGGTGATAGCCTTTTAAAGCAGCAATTTGGGGAGCTCTTGGAAAGGTCTACAAAGTATGGGAACCAGAAAAAAGCAGAAACTGCCCTCCCTCTTGGAGCTTACACCATTAAAAAAGCTTGGGTTGGGATTCTTGCTCCTCTCTTTGAAGTTGCTTGAGTTAATCTGAGGTTGTAGAAATAGGCACCCCCAAACCTAGGCAGCCCAAGCCGGTGTGAAACTGTTGGAAGGAGAGCTGTGGGAGTGGGTGCATTTCCGGGTCTTTTGAGAAAATGGGAGTGAAAGCTGGCCAAGATCAAAGAACCAGAATCACTAGCAGAATCCGAGTTCCCTGTTTCTCCTTCTCCCCAGTTTTGGGCTTAGGGTCTATGTATATTCTCTGTCTTTGTCTCTGCTGCTGTATCTCTCTCTTTCCCTGTCTCTGTGTTTCTTCCAAATTACTTTGAACCCCAGGCCATTCAGTGGGATTCCCAGATGCTGGTTTGGAGGGAGGAGTAAAGGCTGAGGAAGGGGTAGGTGGTAAGTTTCTCCCTCCACCTCTAGGGAAGGGCTTTCCTAGGGCTTGTGGAGACTTTGGGTGAAGTAGAAGCCTTTGTAGGCCTGAGTGTGTTAAGAGAAACTATTTCAGGACAGGACCAGTCCTGGG